TAGCCTCCCCACCCAGACTTGAACCACTAACTTCTTTGGTTCTGTTTTCTGCAAGGAAATGAGTGCAGATGTTTGGTAAAGGAGGTGGCTCAGAGCCAGACCTTGGGGATACAGGGACTACACAGAGCCCTAGTACTTTGTACCCCTCCCCCAGGCCTGGTCAGTACTCCCTGGGGTTGGAACCTGGCTTTTAAAAACATCTCTTAAAATTGGGAAGATAGGGCCTGCCTAGTGGTGCAGGGGTTAAAGTCTCAGTGCTATCAAGCTATCGCCAACCACTGCGGCATGAGTTCAATCCCTGGTGGGGAGATACCCACATGGCGCAGCAGACCTCTCCTGTCCCGCTGGCTGCTCCCCTCAGCAGTGTATTCCAGCAGATCTACCTGTTCTGCTCCCCACTCTGTCTCTAGTGAGTCTTCTCACCCCCACACCTCCTGCCTACACCCCAGTTCTTGTATGCATCAATAAATAAATCTTTAAGAAAATAAAATTGGAAAAATACTACACATTTAGAGCAAAGTACATGCAATCCAGATAATAACAAAGAGGGTACTCAGTCACCACCAGTTAGTACCCGGAAACCACCCCACCCCATGTCCCCAAGGAAGCCCCTCTCTGTATGGGAGCCACTCTCCTGATGTGACTACCCCCTCCTTTTTTCATAGTCTTAGCACTTATAAAGACAATCCTAAAATTCTGGTTGATTTTTGCCTGTTTAACTTTTAACCTATTATGTATGGCATCATACTGTGTAGAGTTTCCCCATTTCTTTTATTCAGTGCATTTTTTTTTTTTTTACTTAACATGATGCTGATTAGATTCAACATCACACAGTAGTGGTTGGTGCTTTTTCATTGTCGTGTAATATTCCACCACCTAACACAGCCCCGCAGTGATGGCATGTGTCCTGAGACAGGTGTCTCTGGGCAGGCCTGTCACTGTGTGAACAGTGAGTGTAAGGACACAACCCTCGATGGCCCCGCGACTACACCCCCAGGCTCCACGGTGCAGCCTGTCGCCTGTCATCTGTGCAGTCCACTGCTGATGGGAACTTTGTTCAGTGACACAGGACCGTACATAATGTACTTGTCTGTTCCCCTGTTGGTGGACATTTGCATTGTTTCTAGCTTTTGTTCTTACAAATAGAGGTTCTTGTCCATGTTTTGTTTTTGGAGGCCACGTGCTGCCTTCCTGCTGGGCATAACCCCCAGATTCCAGGCCCCAGGCATGTGCATCTTCCACTTCTGTAGCTCCAACACCCATTTGATGAACTCAGGGGTGACTTTTGGGAGTGAACCCCCACCCCCAGGGCACCCACAGAAATGGAATCAGCCTTTCAGACAAGAGCTGGTGGCTCATTTGCTGACTGCATGAGGAGTAAATGAGGTGGCTGGCATGGCAAGTCTGTGCCTATTAGCAGCGACTGGGCACAGATGTGAGTCCCCCACTGGAAGATGGAGCAGCAGCTGCAGGAGGGTCCCCCCAGCTCTCTGGGATGGAGAAGACCACTGTGCTGGCTCGCACACTTCCACATGGCTGCACGCACAGCCAAGGAGTTAGGGGGCCCCGGTGGAGACCTGTGTCATTTAATCTCAGGAGGGGAGGGACCCCAGTCATTTGCTGGTTCTGTGCTTCCCTCCTCCCCATGGCAGAGCTAAGCGCTGCTCCCCAATCCTCATAAAGCCGCTTTCTGAAGAGAAAGAGCAACACTGAAGAGCAACACTGCCTTCCCAGTTCCCTCTCCAGGATGACAGCGGCTGGTGTCCATGGGGGATGCAATTTAATCACATCTCAGCATTCTGGAATAGGATCCTAAATTGAATAACAGAATCCCAGAATAGAGCCTGGAATGGACCACAGGACCCGGGAATTCACACTGGGCAGATCCCTCGGATTCCCGTAGAGGCTCTGAACTCAGCCGTCAAACTCCAGGACGCCCCTGTCCAGGTTCCCGGAGATGGAAGGGATCCCTGCAGGGTGGCGAGGCAGCAGGTCCAGCTCCTGTCTCTTGCCCTGGGGGCAGCACCATCTCTTTCTTTGGGGACGTCTTGTGGGATGCCCTGGGACTGGCCACAGCCCTGCTTCTGAGCAACCCAGAAAGGGTGGGTATGTCCAGGTGGGAGTTCCCCACACAGACCCCTCCTTAAAACCCCTCAGGGCAGAAGAGGGTCTCAGAGGCCTCTCCCAGGCCTCACCCCAGCCCCACATCACATTGTTTGACTCAAGGTCAAGCCAAATCTGAGATGACTGTCTAGTGATCTGCCCCTCCTGGGCCTCTGTTCCCCCATCTGTGAAATGGGCCAGGAGTGTTTCGGGGACCCTGTAAACACAGGAGCTTGGTGTGTAAGTGCTGACTGAGGAAAGGACTGGTTCCAGGCGAGCCCAGCTGGGGACTCTGGACTTCATTTCAGTTGTCATTTGTGGACTCATGCTGGGCCTTTTCTGGAATGGGCACACCCAAAAGAGAAACTGTGATGTTGGGGGTATGCCAGAACTAAGGCAAAGCCTGAGCAGAGCCACGGAAGCAGTTAGCTATGGAGGGAAAAGCTTTGGGAGCAAGTGGCATTCGAGTGGCCTTGAGGGGTGTGAATGAGAGGGTGGATCTGGAAGGAGAGTCTCTTGACAGTGTCCTGGGGCGTGGCAGGAATGCCTGGCACCTAGCAGCAGAGGCATCTCAAGAAGGAGTTGGCACCCCACCCCAAGGACACTAGGGTAGCAGGACAGGAGCTTGGTCAGGGGTACAAAGCAAGGTAGGCTAGGCCCGGTTGGAAGACGAGGAGGCTGGCAGGGCGGTTGAGGCAGCCCGGATAGGGGTTCACCTTGTTTCCTTCCCTCCACCCCAAAACAACCCAGTCAGAGCTTCCTCTGGTCCTGCATCTTCAAAAGGTACAACTTTGAACATCTGGGAGACTCTTTGGGGTCCCCATCTGACCACCAGAGATTCCTCCTGTAGTCTCTTCCCCCCAGCGGCCCGGGGGAAGCCTCCCCATCCGTGACATCTGTGATATAAATAGGTTAGACATAAGGGATTTGCTTTTCTCAGTGGTGTCTGATTTGGCTGAGCTCATCCAGCAAAAGGAAGGGGAAGGGAAAGAGCCAGGACTGGACCCCAGTCATTTAACATGCGCCCACCCCAAAGACAGATACTTGCAGAGCTCCAGCCCACAGGATCCTTGCTTGGAGGCATGTCAGGCTCCCTAGAGGACCCTGGGGAAACCAGCAGGCGATCAGCCTGGACTTCTGCTTCTCACTCTCCTCTCCCTTTTGACTTGCCCTCTATAAAATGGGGGTGTTTGCATCTCATAAAATTGCTCTAGGTTAAATGTGCCAGTGGATGTTGGTGTTGCTCCAACATGCCAAACTTTCTCTCCCTCCCAACTCCTATTCATACTTCAAAACCCACAGCAGATTTTCCATCTTCAGTGCAGTCCCAGCATTGCCTTGTGGCTGCTCTGTGCTGAAGCTCTCCCAGTCCCAGAGTTCTCTTTCTGCCTCCACCCCGACCTGTGTCTGGGAGTGTCTGTGTTTCCTCCTGTCCTCCTTCACCAGACTAGTGGTGTCCTCTCCTGGGATTGCAGTTACTCAGGATGGGACACACCGGGCCTGCAGTTGAATAAATGCAACGAGGAAAGGAGGAGGCAGGCAGGGATGCAGCGCTGGGGAGCCAGAGAAGGTGGAGGAGGGAGGGAGGGCAGTCGGCAGAGACCTCGGTAGGACAGATGGAGAGAGAGAGCCGGAAGGAGGTGGGCAGAGCCAGATGGGCGGGCAGGGGCGACAGGAGGGGGATGTAGGGAAACCCAGTCCCCCCCCCCAGCACGCCTCCTCCTGACTCTGGCGGGCAGTGAGCAGGGCCTGGCCTCTGGAGGGCTGATCCGGCTGATCGTCAGCGCCTGCCTGGGCGTGGGGTGCCGAGCTCCGGGCTCCGGGAGCGAGAGCAGAGCCCGAGCGTGCGTGAGGCGTGTGCGCGCCTGTGCGCCCCAGGGCTGGGCGGGCGCGCTGTGGCACGTGGATGCCAGCCCGGCGCGGCTGCAGGCCGGTGGGTAAGGCGGGGCCGCGGGACCGCGGGGTGCAGACCGGGCCGCGAGCGTCAGCGTTCGAGTAGGGGGTCTGCAGAGGAGCCGCGGCCCACCTGGGCCTGGGGCAGACCAGGACTTCCTCCCCACCGCATGGCCGACCCGGGAGGGGAAGGGGCCCCCCCCGAGGAGGTGGAAGGTCCCAGGCTACACAGCACGCGGGGGGGAGAGGGGGAGCAGGTACCCAGGCCCCAAGAAAAGGGTGGGGGAGCAGGGTGGGGTGATGGGGCAGGTTCTCTCCCGGTGCTCCCCCATCCCTTGCTCCCTCCCTTGGCTCATCCATTGCCAGAAGATTATATTTAAATATCTCTTTTGTGCAAGGCAGGAGCTGGGCTCGCCCCTAAGAGGCGGTTTCCATGGCAACAACAATTGCCAGCTTCCTTGTGTGGTGAATCAGCGTTGCCATAGCAACCCCATCCTCATCTGCCCAAGGTGCTGGGAGGGGGGAGGAGGTGAGGGCCAGGGAAGGAAGGCCTGGTGGGAGGGTGGGGGGGCAGCCCACGCTGGAGTTCAGGTGCCCCCTCACCCTCGGTTCCCTTCCCCACCTCAGGCTGGCCCCAAACCAGAAAGCTGGTCCAGCTGGTTGACATAGTCTTCCCTCCTACCTCCAGCTAGTGGGGTGTGGTACCCAGGTGGAGAGGCCGCGTGTGCGTGTGCGTGTGTGGTGGGGGGAGGGGAGGTGGCTCCATCTTTCCCAGGCAGCAGGAAGGTTGGACTGATGGAAGAGGGGATACGAGATGAGGGAGACAGCGGCCCCTCTGGTTCTGGGACTCCCAAGACTGAGTTCAAATTGAGGAGGCCACGTGTGCTGGGGAAACAAACTTAGAAAGGGAGCGGATCAGAAAGGGGGGGATTAGACCGCGGGAAAGGAGAGCCGCGGGAAGCCGGGGAGGGCCAGAGGAACTCTTCGGGAGGGCGTCCCGGGGAGGGGGTGCAGAGTGAGGGAGAGGACTCCGCGATGGCCTGCAGCACTGTGTTGAGGTCTGAAAGAAGGGTGAAGGAGTTCGGAGGTGAAGAGACTGGAGGGGTTCAAAGTTGGGGAGGGGGCTATCGTGGCAGTTGGTGGAAAGGACCCTGGATTTGGGGTTGAGGGATCTCCACCCCGCGTTGGCTCATCCACCATGACCCTGGATAAATAATCTCTCCCAACGTTGATAGTTTGATGTCGGTAAGATGGGGTGCAAAGCACACTCCCTCTCTGAAGCTTGCTGACAACTGTACTGTGATCAGAAAGGTAACATTTGTCAAGCACCTTTTCTGAATGGTCACAGGGATCTAATCAGGTTGTCTGACCTGTACTTATTCCAACCCCAGGCCTGGCTGCCAGCTGCCCTTCTGTGCTAGTGGGCATTGGCCTCCTCCTTCCCTTCATTCAGTTGGGCAAACTCCTCTGGTTCTCTGTGTCCTCTGACCTGTGTGGGGTGAGGCTATGCCAGACATTGCACTTTCAACCCTGGAGCAGAGGGAGGGTGGAACCCAGAGCTGTAGGGATGCCTGCGTGGGGGCTTTTGAATTGGGTTTTGAGGGATGAGAAGGAGTTCACTGGAACAGCAAGTTGGATTCTGTCCTAGGATCTGTGAAGGAGCAAATACCATACCCATCCCACACCCCTTGGGTCTGTTCTCAAATACCCAGTTTAGTTCATCCCCATGGCTGGGTAAGTTTCAAGGGAGTGTTAGGGGAAGATTTCTGAATCCCATTTTCAGTATGGGGATGGGGGCAGAAGTATCTAGAACAATGAGTCCGCTGGGTATGACAGTTCCTTCACCCAAGGCTTGTGACCATGTCCAGATGCAAAAGGTGGGGAAATAGACTTGAGGGATCAGAGGAGTTGGGCCATCTTTGCAAATATTCTGTCTCACTTGGAGAGGCAAGGAGGCCTCCTGGAAAAGGGGGTGCTGTTGCTGGGTTTTGAAGGTTAAAATAGGAGTTTTCCAGGCAGTTGTGAGCAAAGGCCTGAAGGGTGGGACCATGTGTGGTTTGATTTGACTGGGGTGTTAGGTGCTTCTGGGGTTGGGTCGACTGCTGAGGCTGGGGAGGTAGCAGGGGTCCAGGCCGAGTGCTGGTGAAGCCCCCACTACCGACTTGACCTACCCCTCTCTCCACAGATGGCGCGGCCAATCCAGGTGAAGCCTGCAGACAGCGAAAGCCGCGGAGGTAGTTGTCATCTCTCCATGGCCACCAGGCTGCGGGGTGGTGGAGGGATGGGGGGAGGGGAAATCCCTTCCTCTTTCTCACCTCAAAGGGACAGTGCTGAGGCCTAGGGGCCTGGAGCCGCTGCCACAAAAGGGCGCAGCTAACAGTGGTGGGAGAGGTAGAGGCCTTCTGGCTGGCTCCGGACGGGAGAGGAGGGGCTGTGTCCCTTCCTCACCACAGTTCTGCAGGCTAAGGGGGGCTCAGGGGATGGGGCGCCCCAATGGCTGTGGATTGCTTTCTGGGCTGCACACACTTGTGTATCTGGGCAAGTGCACATGTGTGTGCGTGTGTGCGTGTGTGTGTGTGAGAGCACACACACATACCTGTGCATGTCTATGGTGTCTGCAAGCATGTGCACATGCGCCGTGTGTTGCTGTGGCTGGTGCTGTGGGGTGGGGGCTGCTTGTGTGCACATCTTCAGACCTGGCCTGCATATGGGTACGCGCAGGGCGTGTGCTTGACTGTTCCGGGCCGGGCGGGTGGGAGTGCAGACGGGGACCTGTCTCAGGGCTGGACCACAGGGAGGTGTGCGCCCTTGGGTGGGGGGCCACCCGGGTGGGATCCAAGGCTGCTCATTCTTGGAGATTTCTGTACCTTCTCCCCATCTCGGGTGGAGGAGGAGCTGAGGGCTAGCGGCCAGCCTGGGGCGGTGTGTGAGGCAGGACCCCTGTGTGTGTGGAGGAGCCCTGCAAAGCCCATCCTGACTGGGAGCCACTTTCACTCTCCAACCTGAATGCCAGGGATTACAGAGGTGGGGTCTGCATGTCTCCCTCTCAGCCTCCCTCTCCTCTGCTCGGCTCTCCTCTGCTCTCCTCCCTCCTCCCTTCCTCTCCATCTCTCTCCCTCTTTATCTGTCTTCTCCCCTTTTGTCTCTGGTTCTCTCTGCCCTTCTGCATATCTCTTCGTCCGTCTGTCTGTCTGTCTTTCTCGTCTGTCTCCATCTCCCTTCCTCTCAGTCTCTCTGCTCCTGTGTCTCCTTCCATCCCACCCCCATGAGTGACATCTGCCAAAGAACAGGTTTCCATAGTAACCCAGCTCACCATCCCTGGGAGATGGAGCTGCCGTGTTCCTGATTACAGGAAGCAGAGCAATTACCCAAGGGGGCAGGGCTGTGGCACCACACTTGGAGGACTGTCCCATGCTGGCTCGCTCCTGGTCTTAGACGTGGGTAGGTCCCAGCCAAGCCTGCAGCCAGGCCCCTACCCTCCACCCCACCAGACGGGGGCACCAGGCTCCTCGGCCGCCCAGCCTGTGCGCACACACCTTCACGCATGCCCCGGAGGCTTCCCGCCTGGCCCCTCCTCGTCCCTGCAGCGAGGCTCCAGCCCGAGGACTCAGGGACCACCTACCGGCGCTCACCTGGCGTGGCCGCTCTAGATGGCCGGCGGACAGACAGGGACCCAGACCGGGCCAGGCAGTGCCTAACACGGGTATTACTGTGGGCTCTTGGAGTGAACCTGAGGGAAAAGCCATCGTTGCCCGGAGGGTGGAAGCGGTGGCGCAGAGGCCGGAAGGAGTGAAGGGTGGACACTGCAGGCAGGTGGCACAGCAGCGGAGGCGCAGAGACGGGAGCGCGCAGGCAGGTGGGAGGGGGCGAGACCCGGCGGGGAGAGCGTGCCACGTCCTCCCGCGCACGCACAGGACAGGGGCGGGCAGGGTCCCGGTCCCACCCCCCACGCCGCAACCACCCGAGCCCCGGGACTCGGCTGAGGGGGTGTCTCTGCCCACAGGGGACCGGAAGCTGTTTGTGGGGATGCTGAACAAGCAGCAGTCGGAGGAGGACGTGCTGCGGCTGTTCCAGCCCTTCGGGGTCATTGACGAGTGCACGGTGCTCCGGGGCCCCGACGGCAGCAGCAAAGGTGACCGCGCGGCGGGGGCCTGGGGGCGGGGGAGCGGGCTGAGGCCTGAGGGGCGGGGCCAAGGGCTTGGGGGCGGGGCTGGGAACCAAGGGGGCGTGGCCGTGGGTCCAGTCACAGGCGCGAAACGCCTTCTGGGGCGGGACCCAGTGGGTGGAGCCCGCTTCCCGGGGGCGGGGCCACTCGTGGGCGGGGCAGCGCCTGGGGCGGGGTCGGCGGAGACCGCTGGTCCCTTCGGTGCCGCCGGGTCCCCGGGGCCCGAGTCCGCCTGGGGCTGCCTGTCTTCACCTGTCTCTGTCCACGGGTCTGTTTCTGTTTGCATTTGCCTGTGTCCTGGGACGGGCTCGGCCCCATCGCCCAGCGCTTCCGTCTGGTCGGGCCACCGGGAGTCACTGAGGGTCTCCGGGCACCTGTTGTCCTGCGTGCCCACGCGACCACCTGGGGTGGAGACTCGCTCCACCTGCATCGCTTAGTCTGGGCTTCTGCCTGACTGTCCAAATGGCTGTTGCTGACTGACTGACTGACTGTGGACCCAGCTCTGCTTATTTAGGTTCATCTGTCGGGACTCGATTACTCTGTCTCTGCTCTTGCAATTTACCTTTCCTAGGACAGAATCCAGGATGCAGTATCCAGTGATCTGACTGGATGTGCCCAGCTCTTTCTCTGAATTGAGATGTGATTCACATAGAGTAAACATTTTCCTTTTCAAGTGTACAGTGATGTGCTTTTCAGTATATTAGCAAAACTGTGTGACTGTAACCACTGTCTAGTTCCAGAACATTTTCATTCGCCATCCCCCAACTCTGCCTGGCTCTATAGAACTGGCCGGGCCAGGGGGATGGGGTGGGGTTCTCTGCAGGTGACTGAGTTTGCCTATGTCTGGTGGTCTCTGGTTGTCTGCCTGATTGCTCCCATGTCACCGGCCAGCTGGGTCTGCCCTGTCTGGTGGCTTTTTACCCCATCTCCCCAATTCTGGTCACGTGGCCATATTGTCTGGGTCTGAGTGTATCTCTGTCTGGTGTGTCCACAGGATTGTATCTCTCTGCCTCTGTCTGATGGTTTTCACTTCAATTTTGCATATCTGTTTACAACTCAGGATCTCATGGTTTTGGTGACTGGAGGGTGTTTTCTAAGCCCACCCTCTTCCCTTGTTCTAACAGGGGACCTACTGCCTCGATTGTGCCGGCTTCACACTGTCCGTCTGTCAAACAGTGACATGGCTGGCTGGGTGTTTGATGGAATGTCTGCCTCTGAGACTGGCTGGCAGTGTGTCTGTCTTATCGCCTGTGGTCCAGCTGTCTGAACAATGGCTGCCTGTCTCTCTGTTGTATGATTGTCTGGCTTTCTGGTTGTCTGTGTCTGATGCTGACCTGCCACACAGAGCTCCAGCCCCCTCTCCCGTGGCCGCATAGACAGAGCTGTCGCCCCGCACTCACTCTCCCTCTCTTGGAGCAGGCTGTGCCTTCGTGAAGTTCTCCTCCCACACGGAGGCTCAGGCGGCCATTCACGCCCTGCACGGGAGCCAGACCATGCCGGTGAGTAGGAGCTTCTCTGGGCTGTTGCAGTGGCATGTGGAAGGGGCGGGTGAGGGGCCTGTCCCTGCCATCCCAGCCATCTGCTTACTCTGTCCCTTCCTCAGAGGGGTCACAGGTAGAGAAGGAGGAGCATGAGTGTGGTAGCATGAGTATGTGGCTGTGCATGTGTGTGCACAAGTGTCCATACATGAGTGCGAGCAAATGCAAGCATGTGTACATGTAGACCCAGGTGTGTTTATTTGTATGTGTGTGTATCTGAAAGAATGCATGTGTGTAAGCATGCTTATGTGAGTGCATGTGTGTGTTATGAAAGTGCATGAGTATGCAATGAACTGTGTGTGTAAATGTATACAGCTAAGTGTGCACTTGTGTGCTGATGCATATATATGTGTATACGTGAGGGTGTGTGTCAGTATGTTGAGGTATGAGTATGCTGGGTGATGGAGGAAACTAGTGCATGTGTGCATTTGTCAGTGTGTGAAGACAGTGCTTTAATATACATGTGAATGAAAACACACATGTACAGATGTGCACGAACATGAGTGTGCATGTTGAGTATGTGATCATGTATGCACATGTGTGATCGTGTGCAGGTGAGTGTGTGTGCTGTGTAAATATATGAGTGTGCATGGTGAATATATGTGATTGCATATGTTTGTGAGCATGCACAGTGTGTGTTTGCTGCATGGTATGTGTATCAGAGTATGTATATATGTGTGTGAGTGCATGTGTGTGAAGTTGCATGGCATGTATTGTGTGTGAAAGTGAAAATATGTGTTAGCGCATGTGTGTGAGCATGCACAGTGAGTGTGTGTGTGTGTGTGTTTGAATATACATGAGAATGTGTATGCATGTGTGTGAATTGCAGTGTGTGTGAGCATGTGTGGCGAGTGTGTGAAGGTGTAGGAGAGTATTGTGTGCATGTGTGAATGTACAAGAAGGTGCCCTAAGGAGGTGAAACCCTAGGAGCAGACAGGGTTTGCTGAGGCCGGCAGGGGTCATGCCAGGCATGGGGATGACAAGAAGAAAGCTGGTGTTTGAGGATCCGGGGAAGATGAGACTGAAGGAGCCTGAAGTTCAAGGCTGACAATCTTGGGATTCCTTCTAGGGCAACTGGGAGCCCTGGAGGGTTTGGACAGGGCGGGGACGGGGTCAGACTGGCTGGAAACATCTCTTTGGGGCCAGAGCAAGCTGGAGCCTGGAGCTTGTGGGTCTGCAGTGCTGAGAGGCTAGCAAAGACCCCCCCCCCAGGTGTGGGGGTGGCTCTACTCCTCGTGCCAGGCAGGAGTCCCTGGCAGTCACCACCACTATACAGAGATATCCAAATCTGCCACAGGGAACACGGGCGCCAGCTGGGGCGCCAGCTCTCCTGTTTCAGATGTTCTGGAGACTGGTGTGAGCCAGCAGCGCAGTCTCCGAGCCACCCTGCCCTTGCTGTCCTGGCACCTGGGCATCAGTCTAGTCCCCATCAGGGAAGGACTCAGCTTAACACAACAGCAGGCTATTCCAGTGATGAGGCTGGCAGGCGGAGCAGGGACTAAGTTCTCCACCTAAGGGGGCATGTCTTGAATGGCTGAAGTCTCACCTGTTCTCAGGTGTGGGTGATGGTTATAGGGTCCTCCATCTGGCCCCAGAAGTTTGATTCTCTATCTGGTTTTGGTATGACTCAGTTAGGGCCTTCCATGGTGCCCCCAGATGTAATCCCTGGGCAGCCACACCCCACCTGTGCACACATGGCTGCTAGGCCAGGTGTGAAACCTGGGAGGCTGATCTCCAAGGTGTTTTTGCTGTGACCCCTGAGTCCTGTGTCTTTGAGCAGAGTCACAGTTGATGGCATCTTCTATCCACCCCTCACCCAATGGGCCTGAGCTGGCATGGTTCCGGGGAGCTGGAATCCAGGCTACCTTCCTCCTTTTTTCCCTCCCTGCTTGCCTGCTGCCCCTGCAGGGGGCCTCCTCCAGCCTGGTGGTCAAGTTCGCGGACACGGACAAGGAGCGAACGCTGCGGCGCATGCAGCAGATGGTGGGCCAGCTGGGCATCTTGACACCATCGCTCACCCTGCCCTTCAGCCCTTACAGTGCCTACGCTCAGGCTGTGAGTGACCCAGCACATGCACTGCTGTCTCCAGTGGGGCTCCAGAGGCCCTTGCGGAGGTCCAGCCCTCTCTCTGTCTCTGTCTCTCTCTTTCCACGTATTCTCTGTCGAGGGCTTCTGCCTATTTGCCCATTTTTCTTTCTGTTTCTCACCCAATTTCTCAGACTCAGGGTCCTATCCTGGCCATGGCTGGGACCCAACCCCAGCTGAGCCCCCAGTCATGACCTAAGCCCTGAACCGAACCCCAACCCTAGATTAATACAATTCCAGGCTCAGCTTCAATCCTAAACTGAGACCAACCAAGAGACTGGACCCCTAAGTTCAGGCTGAGCCCTGACCCAGGCTGAACCCTAATATCAAATGAGGACCTAACCTTGTGCTGAGCCCAGACCTGGCTGTGCCCCAAATCTACACTGCCCCAATTCTGGCTATGCCTCCAAAGTCCAGGCTGACTCCAAACTAAAACCAGACCCAATCCTGGTTAAGTGTTGATTGGTCTCTGATCTACGACCAAATGACTAACTGAGCCCTGATCCCTGGCTGAGTTCTCATTTCCTAAATGAACTCTGAATCTAGACTGATCCCTAATCACAGGCCGAATCCTGATCCTATACTGAACCTTGGTCCCAGGTCGAGTCCCAATTCCTAACTGAGCCCCGATCCCAGCCTGAATCAAGGTACCCTGCCTCACCACCCCCTCCCTAGTTTCTTGAGGGTCAGCCTTCTCCCCATGAACCATGATCTCAGGGCAGGTATCGCCCCTACAGCATGCTGACTCCCTCTCAACCCCCAGCTCATGCAGCAGCAGACAACGGTCCTGTCCACCTCGGGCAGCTACCTGAGCCCCAGCGTGGCCTTCTCACCCTGCCACATTCAGCAGATTGGCGCCGTCAGCCTTAATGGACTGCCTGCCACACCCATCGCCCCTGCCTCTGGTGAGAGTCTCCAAGGGCCCAAAGATGGGTGGGCAGGGCTGGGGACAGAACCAGGCTCCCCATGACACCCTTCCGCCCCACAGGACTGCACTCGCCCCCGCTGCTCGGCACCGCTACTGTGCCCGGCCTGGTGGCTCCCATCACCAACGGCTTCGCAGGTGTCATGCCCTTCCCCGGTGGGCACCCCACCCTAGAGACTGTATATGCCAATGGCCTCGTGCCCTACCCAGGTAACTCGGGTTGTCCCCCAGGGCCTTGGAGAGTGGTGGGGGCAGGGATGGTGTCTCCAGGACAAATAGGATGAGTTTCTATACCATGGGTTCCCTGGAATAGGCGTGGCAGGACAAAGTGAGTCTCACATGACAGATGTGATATGTGGGCATGCAGAAAGAAGTTATGCGGGGTCCTTAAACATAGGAACTCTGCATCTGATCTGGGTTCAAGGTCCAGTACGACGGCCCCAGATGGTTTCTGCAAGTCTCTGAACCTCAGTTTGCTCATCTGGGAAATTGGAAAAATAGCATCAGTCACCTCCTGAGGTTTTGCATATCAATTTTAAAATGCCCAACACATCACATAGTACCAAGAACGGCACCACCCATCTTAATTATCGGTGGCTACTGTGTGAGGAGAGAGCTATACTGTATTCACTCATTCACTCGGTACTGACCAACCAAGCACTGATTTGGGACTTGTCCCATCCTCATAAAGCAGAGGTCTCACCTTTCTTTACCCTACACCATGATTTCAGGGCTAACGACTTCCATCACTTTGCTTATGTGAATCAAGTCATCTGTGTTTTCCCCACTGAGGATAATTTGTTTATTTTTATTTTTGAAATAATTTCAGGGAATTGCAAAAGCATAAACAATAATTTGTTATTATTATTTATTTATTAGCTATAATTTGTTTAGTATTTATTTTATTTATTACTCATCACAGGGAGTTGCAAAAAATAGTAGAGTGGTCCTGGCCACTCCTCACTCTGTTTCCCCATTGCTAATATCTTACATAACCATAGTACATTGTCAAATGCAGGAAGCTGATACTGGCAAAGTACAATAAACTCAACTGAAGTTGGAAATCTTATTCATTCAGATGTCGCTGCTTTATATATGTCTTCATTTGTGTGTGCTTGTGTGTGTTTCTATGCCATCTTATCACAAGGACTCATGGAACAACCTCAGCAGAGGCAGAGACCTGTTCCATCTCCACATTTGTTCATGTCATCATAGTCAGCCATACCCCCCCCACACCCCATCCTCTACGAACCTCTCCTTATTTGAGCAGAATCTTTTGGCTGAATTGTTCCTAGATGCACCAGCTCTAGTGGCCTGTACAACCTCTCCCTTCCTCCTACCTCTCCCCTAAAGACAGTCAGAAGGTCACAGCCACATAGGGGATCCATAGGGTATCTGATGAGTGAGGCGTGGGGAGGCAGAGAGGGGGAGGGCTGGGATCCTGGAGAAATCAGAGAATAAAAAGCAGTGAAAGGGGTGTGGAGAGAGGGAAAGGCAGGTGATAGTGAAACCTCTCTGGAGTCCCAGAAGCCTGGATTCAAGTTAGGCTTCTGTCATTTTCTGAGAGTGGGTTCAGCTTTATGAGCCTCAATTTCTTCACCTGTAACATGGGGATCATACCTATAAAGGGTTTAGTGTAGAGGTAAAGCGGGGGCGGATATGTGTTGCTCTCCTCTGGCCCGTAAGGATCGGGGGCGGATGGAAACCTTCTGCTGCCCCCGCCCCACTTAGCCCCTCCGTCTGCCCAGCAGCTCAGAGCCCGACAGTTGCCGAGACCCTCCATCCCGCCTTCTCCGGAGTCCAGCAGTACACAGGTAGGAGGCAGCTCGGCCCCGCCCCCGCGTGGCCCCGCCCCCGCGTGGCCCCGCCCCTCGTGGCCCCACCCCGCGGGCTCCTTCCGGTCTTCCTCCCTCGCCTAGCCACACCCCCGTTCCGGTCCCGCCCCTCAGGTGCCGCCCTGTCATTCCGTCTTCCCGCTGGGGCCTAACCACGCTCCTACTCTGGCCGTGGCAAAACTCGCAGAAATAGCGCCCCCCTTCCTTCAGCATCTGGCCCCGCCTCCACCAAGGCCCCCAAACCTTGGTTCTCCTTCCCAAATCCTCCTGGGCCCACCTTCTTCCTGGGCCCTACGTCTCCACTCAAGGCCCCGCCTATCAAGTCAGGCCCCGCCCCGCATTGTTGGGCCCGCGTGCTTTGGCCCCGCCCTCAGGCCGTTCTCCGCGTGGCCCCGCCCCCTCCACGCGAAGACCTGGTGACCCCGCCCCCAGGTGGGCCCGCCCCCGCGCCTGTTCCTTGGACCCGCCCCCAGCTCCGCCCTCCCCGCGGCCCCGCCCCTTCCCCTTCCCGAGACCGGCTCTCGGACCCGCCCCCGCCCCGCCGCGCCCCCCCACCCGCGCCGGCCGCGCGTCGGCCTCACTCCCGCCTCCGCCCTGTGTCTCGCTCCCGGTCTCCGCAGCCATGTACCCCACCGCGGCCATCACGCCCATCGCGCACAGCGTCCCCCAGCCGCCGCCCCTCCTGCAGCAGCAGCAGCAGCGAGAAGGTGAGGGGGCCGCGACTCCCCTGGGCTCGAGCCCCGCCCTTTGCCCCCCTCCGCCCTCAGGACCCCCCTCTGGCTCCCAGCCCGGCCAGGCTTCAGAGACCCCGCAAGTGGGCGCAGCCTGGGGGCCGGACGGGCCTCGGCTCAAGTCCTGGCGCAGTCACTCGTCCCCGGGGTGCTCATGGACACCCGAATCTTCCTCTCTTAGCCTCAGTTTCCTCCTCCGGAAAACGGGAACCACGCTAGTTGGTTGCAACCCCGTAGGAAATACAGTGACTCCACCTCGCCAGAACTGGTTGGTTCTCTGAATTTTTGAAGAGAATATTCTATTTGATGTTGGGGTGGTGGTGGGTGATCAAGTACCTCAGATAAACTGAGGCCCGCCTGGTAATACCAAGGCAGCCAGGGAGGGAGGGGTTCGGTTCTGGAGTTGGACACCTGGGATTCGAACGCTGTCTGCCCGCGCCTCCCTTTCCTCGCCGGTAGCCCTGGCGACCTTCTGCGCCAACAGGTGTTACTAGGAATAAGCAGCAACAGTTTCTGACACATAGTAGGCGCTCAGCACCTGGGAGTCCAGTCCCTTCCTCTCTTTAGTCCTCCTTGTTGGGGGGGTGGGGGTGGAGGAGGCGATTAGGGTGAGGGCACCAACCAGAAAAGCTCCCATACCCCATGGCAAGGGGAGCCCTGCTCTGCTGATGACCCGTCCTCAGACTCAGTCCTGAGAATCTGCCCAATTACAACCTTGCCCTTGGCATGTGGAAGAGACACTGCCAGAGTGCAAAAGCTTTGTAGGGGAGGCGCTCTGGCTCTGCCAACCAGCTGCTACCCCATCCTCAGGCAGGTACCTCGTCTCCAAGGGCTCTGTGGTTAAAAACAAAGACAACAGCAGGAGTATTTGGCAACTCCAGCAGCTTCAGATGCGAGGGAGCTAGTAGGGTCTTTAGACACACCTCAACTCCCTGGGGCGCTGTTTTGTGGATGCTGGCACCTGGGTGTCTCTGTTCCTGGTGGATCTCCAAGTCCACCCTTTACCCAGGCAGAGTGGGTAAAAGCTAATTCAAGAGTAGCCGGTGCTGTGTAGTGGGACTTATGTGTTTCTGGAAAATTGTTCTACAGTTTGCAAAACCTCAAAATGTAAACTACAGGGTCAGTGAGGAAATAGAGTCAGAGTTCATGGTTCAGTAACATGTCAAAAAAAAAAAAAAAAGAAAAAGAGGATCCTTATAAAAATGAAAGTGGTAGCAGTTTTATGCATGTCAGATAATGAAAAGAGAAGATGAATACTGCAATAAATATAGCACTCTATCCTGGAGCAGGCCTGAAGTTTGCAAGTGGAAGTGGGATCAGAAAAGTTGCAGCTTGGTGGAAAGAGGCTTCTCTGAAATCAGGGTGTTGTAATCCCAGAGATGGGTGTGGCTCAGTACACTGGGGAAATGGGAAAGTTGGTAGATGTTTGCACTATACATGGATATTTCTTTTTTTAAAGATTTGTTTATGCATGTAAGAACTGGGGTCTAGGCCAGAGGTGTGGGGGGTGAGAGGATTCACCAGAGACAGAGCAGGGAGCAGAACAAGCAGACTGACTGAAATACACTATTGAGGGGAGCAGCAGGCGAGCCAGGAGAGGTCTGCTATGCCATCTAGATCAGCTCCCTGACCGGGCATCCAGCTCATGCTGCAGTGGCTGGCGATAGCTTGATAGTGCTGAGACTTCCCCTGTGCCATCAGGAAGGCCCCTGTAGGTGTATATTTCTTCATGAGGTTTGGTTCAGCTGGTTGTAGTTTTATACATTCACTTCATGTTTTATGGGAGCTGGATAGCACACAAGCATGCACAAAATTCGTGTTATGCTGGAAATGGTTCCAAAATGTACCGATTGCATTGGAACACACTTGCATTTAAAAATAAGCGCGATAGTACAACTGTGCTCCTGACCCAGAGGTGGGTGTGAATGTGTAATCTTGGGTGCACGTTTGGGGACTGTTCATGACGTTGGATATAGTCAAGATTTTAAAATGCTATTGTTATTTATAGTTTTTTTTTTTTTTTTAAAGATTTATTTATTTATTTATACAAGCACTGGGTACAGTCAGAAGCGCGGGAAGGTGAGAGAATTCACCAGAGCCAGAGCAGGGGGCAGAGCAGGCAGAAGGACCGAAGTACACTGCTGAGGGGAGCAGCGGGCGGCAGGAGAGGTCTGCGCGCCATGTGGGACCCTCCTCCGGTGGCCGGGGAGCAGCCGGGGATCGAACCGGCGCCGCAGAGGCCGCGGGCAGCTTCGCAACCCAGCGCTCAACCGCTGCGACACTGGGGAGGCCCTATTTATAGTTTTTATGTTAGCCGTGCATTGGGGATTATTTGGGGAGGGAATGATTTTGGGAGTGAAATGTGCTTTAAAAAATTATTTCTGGTTGGTGCAATCTATCATGTTTAGTTGTCTGTGGCTTCAGGATGTCTGTGGCTCAGGACTAGAGAATCATCTTTTTAACTTTATGTAATTTGATCTTTGTAACTGGAGTGATGCAGTTACCCAAGATTTTGAGGAATATCTGGATTGGGGGTTTGGAATCAGGAACTTATTTGTCTTTTTTCCCCCACTACCATCTACTTATATACCCTTTCACACTTCTTCCTCCTCTTAACCTCAGAAACCTGACTTTGTTATTAGCGTCCACTAGTTTTTACAAGTATTTTGCTTTGTCAAATTGTCCACTATGTAAATGTCCAATATTTATCTTTGTCATTCTGACTTGCTTTACTACACATAATTTCCTCCAGCTCCTTCCATTTTGCTGTAAATGGCAGCATTTCATCTTTCCTTCTGGCTGCCTAGTATTTCATTGTTTGGATATACCACATCTTAATTCAGCTATCTACTAGTGGGCATTTAGGTGGTTTCATGTCCTGTCTAGAAATGCTGCCACCACCATTGTACAGCAGATAATCTTTTGAGTTGACAGTTTCATGTTCTTTGTGTTGGTTCCCAAGAGTGGGATTGCTGGGTCATCTGGTATTTCCATGTCCAGTTTTTTAAGGTAAACCAGCTCTCTTTCCAAAATAGCTGCACCAGGTGACATTCCTGCAACAGTATAATAGGGTCCTTTTTCTCCAGCACTTGTTGTTGGGACTCTTTTTAACATGTGCCATTCTCACAGGTGTGAGGTGGTGTCTCCCTGTGGTTTCTTTCTTTTTTTTTTTAAAGATTTATTTATTTATGTATACAAGAACTGGGGTGCAGATCAGAGATGCGGGGGGTGAGAGGATTCACCAGAGACAGAGTGGGGAGCTGAATCTACTGAAATACTCTGCTGAGAGGAGCAGCAGGCAAGACAGGAGAGGTCTGCCGCGCCATATGGGTAGCTCACTGGCCAGGGGTCAAACTCATGCTGCAGTGGCTGCCAATAGCTTCAATAGTGCTATGTCTTAACCTCTTGAGCCACCAGAGAGGCCCCTCCCTGTGGTTTCAACCTGCTTCTTTCTTACTGGAAACACTGATGAACATTATCGACCTTTTGGATGTCCTCTTTGGTAAATAATCTGTTCAGATCTGCTGCCCACTTATTAATTGGGTTATTTGTTTTTCTGCTGTCAAATTCTGTGAGTTTTTTATATATTTTGAATATTAACCCATTGACAGTTAAGTAGTATGTGAATATTTTTTCCTATTAAATAGGATGTTTTTTAATCTACTTGTATTTTCTTTTGCTGTGTAAAAGCTTCTTAATTTGAGGTAATCTCAATTGTTTATTTTATCCCAATTGTTTATTTCCCTTGCTGGAGGGGTTGAGTCTTCAAAAAAATCTTTATCATTGATGCTGTTAAACATATTGCCAATGTTTTCTTTCATATATTTTATTGTTGCAGGTCTTACATCTAAGTCTTTAATCCACTTTGAATTTATTTTTGTACATGGAGTGATCCATCGGGATTTATTGGTCTTACTTTTCTTTTTATGATCATTGGACTTTTAAAACCCAAGCGTTTTCTTTTAGAACTCCTTTTCGACTTATAGTGTTATTGCAAAGATAGTATAGAGTTTCTGTAACCTCCACCAGGTCATCTAACTTTTATAAAATAATCCAGAGTGCGAGGTCTAGGGATTTCTCCAGGGGGTTGGAATTATCTGGGATTTGAGGGATTTATCTTGGTTTGGGGACTGGGGTGGGGTTGGGGGGCTTGGTTATCTGAGTTTTGTAAATTATCTGGGCCATAAATATGATCAGAATTTGGATTCTGGGATAAGACTGGACAAACAAAGCACTCCCTGCTCCCCTTCCCACAATGCCATACCCCATCTTTCTGGGCATCAAGGGGCTCCCCTCTCCTGACAGCTGGAGGCACCAGATGTGGGCTCTGGACCCACGCCCCTCCCCTGGGGTTCCGCCTCCTCTCCTTGGGGGCTTTACGTCTTTCTCTCCCCCACCTGCAGGTCCCGAAGGCTGTAACCTGTTTATCTACCACCTCCCCCAGGAGTTTGGAGACACGGAGCTGACCCAGATGTTCCTGCCCTTCGGCAATATCATCTCCTCCAAGGTGTTTATGGATCGAGCCACCAACCAGAGCAAATGTTTTGGTGAGTACCTGATGCGGGCGCCCCTTCCTGCTTGCTGTCCTTCCAACTCCTGGCATCCTGAAAATGGGGGCGTGGTCAGCCATGAGACAGGTCTGAAGTCATTCTTCTGCTCACTCATTCATTCAGTCAACAAACAGATACATTATGCCCATGAACGTGCTGGACACTGGGCACACAGCAGTGAATAAGCTACCAAAACCTCCTGCCCTGGGAGAGCACACGGTCTTACCGTGCCTTCTGATAGGACTTTCTCTGATGATGGAAATGCTGTATATCCATCAGCCCCATGGAGCTACCAAGCACTTGATATGTGACCAATGCAACCAAAGATCTGAATATTTTATTTGATTTGATTTAATGTGTTTACATTTAAATAACCACATGTGACCAGTGTCTACCAAATTAGAAAGCACAGGTTGAGGTAAGGAGAAAGGAGATGACCAGGTAGCTATAAATATATGAGAAAAATAAAAAGACTAGAGAGAGTGATCAGAAGGAGGTGATATTTCAGCCTAGGCCTGAATCATGGGGAACCAGCTTGGGGAAATCTGGAGGAGAAGTGTTCTAGGCAGCAGTCACAGCATGTGAAAAGGTCCTGGGGCAGGGCCTAACTTGTTCGAACAGCAAGGAGGCTGGAGCACAGTAAGCATGGGAGAGAGAGGGAGTTGGTGAGGACAGGGGCAGGGCATGTAGTGCCTTGTGGGCCTTGGGGAGGACTTCCTTGTCCCCAGAGACAGAGGAAATTAAGGCTCAGAGGGATGCTGCAGTTTGTCCAAAGTTATACAGTAGCAAAGAGGCAGAATCTAGATTAGAACCAGTCTGTTTAACTCCAAAATTTGGAGTAAAAGCCTCACTGTGTCCTTTGCAAAAGACCAACTTTTGACTCTTTATTAAGCGCCTCCTGTATATAGTCAGTCCAACCATAAAAGGGAAGAATTGTCCCAGTTTACAGAGAGGGATGGAATAGCTGCATGTTTGAGGTTACACAGCCAATGGGGGACCCTGGCCAGTACATAGCCCCCTTCTCTGTATCCTGCTTCCAGAAGGAAGGAGGACATTTCTGTAAGGAAACCAATGCACTTTCAACAGTGAGGGGGTCTGTTGCCTTCTCTGAGCCTCAGTTTCCTCATCTATATAATGGGAGTGACAGCTGTTAGAGGAAGTAATAGCTATGAAGACAGCATCCCCTTCCTGCTCCAAGCTCCCCCGTGGCTCCCTTAGGCCTTACCAGGGCAGCAAGAGCCCTCAACCCCAACCCAACATCTTTACCTGACACCCCCCAACATTTGGGCTATCGGGAGCTTAAAGAGGGGGAGGTTGAAGTGTTTCTGATGGCCTGCAAGGAAGGGTGGCGGGAGGTGTAAAAAGCCTGACAGAGACAAGGAGAGAGACAGAGAGAGGGAAGGAGGAAGGGGAACGGAGAGGCAAGGACAGACAGACATGCAACACACACAGAGGGAGTCAGATGGACAGAGAAGTTCCCAGACCGCTAGAGGTCCTGGGGGAAGCAACAGGATGGCCAGCACGGTGTAGAGGAGGCAAGCTTCCTAGGGGGGAGGGAGATAACCTGGCCCTCCCAGGACCCTCAGAGGTCCCCACCTGTTCCCCATGCCAGATGGGAAGCCGTAGCAGAGCAGACCCCAGGTAAGGGGTCCCGACCCCAGGGGCATGCAAGTCCAGGCTCTCAGAACAAGGCCAGGACTGCCACCGGCCCTCTGGCCAGCCCTCCCACCTCCCCGGGCCAGTCTGCCTGTGCAAGCGCACACCCCCACCCCCAGGACCCCGCCAGGGCCGCAGCACTGGAGCGAGCAGAGGACGCCCACGTTGCCCACCATCGCGGCTCCACCCCGGTCTCCACAGGCTTCGTGAGCTTTGACAACCCGACCAGCGCGCAGACCGCCATTCAAGCCATGAACGGCTTTCAGATTGGCATGAAGAGGCTCAAAGTGCAGCTGAAGAGGCCCAAAGATCCAGGACACCCCTACTGACCTCGCCCACAGCCACCCTGAGGCTGTGGGCTTGGCCCAGGTGAGCCGCCAGGCGGCCCCACCCGCCCGATCTCACCCCCCTCCCTTGTCTTGTCTGCACACCCTCCTCATTCTCCAAACCCACCCAGGCACTGTGTGGGGGTGGGGTGCTGCTGCAAGAGTCTCCAGGGAGCCCCCCGTGTTGGGTTGGCAGGGACAGAGCTGGTCAGTGACACCCCCCCGCAACACCTGTGGTCTGGTTGAGAAGCGGAGGGTGGGATGGGGTGGGAAGGGTGGTTAGGGAATCCTTCCTGGAAAAGGCTGTGACGCATGAATAGGAGTTCTCCTGAGAGGCTAGGCTTGGTCCGGGTGGGTTGTGGATGCTGGCAGAGGGGCTTCTGTTCTGTCTGTGAAACCCTCCCCCGGGTGGAACCCCCTTCTAGTCCTCATTTGGTACCATTACACCCCGTGGGTAGATGGGAAAGTGGCATGCTGGCCCCGCACCCAGCGTGCTGAAATAAATCTCCCCAAAGTGTACTCTGCCATCAGAGCAAACAACCTTACAGCAGCTAACCACCTTCTGTGGGGAATGACCGGTGAACCCAAGGGGGCGTGAGATTTATAGCTGACCTCCGGCCTTGGCAAGCTTCGTCTGCTAAACGGGCTCACGCTTGCCAAGAGGCAGCGGTGACCCACCCAGGGACACCGTGTTCCCCGGCTGAGCCCAGGGCCCACCTCCTGGGAAGCTCTCCACAATTCCTTTCGATTTTGGTGGGTTTTTTTCACTCACCATCGCCGTCGTCATCACAGAACCTCGCCTTGGGCCTGGTGCGAAGTAGGTGCTGGTTAGGGGCGGTTCGTGCTTTGCAGACCCGTTGGGCCAGCATCCACAAAGTGGAGGGTGTGCCCGGGGGTGCAGTGCAGGTATGCATGTGCAGAAACTCAGTTCCTGAAAGCCAAGTTGCGGGCGAGCCGTGCGCTTTTAACACCCCCACAGCAAGGCCTATTGAGCATCTGCCTTGCGCGCCAGACTCTGCTTTCCAGAGCTTGGGGCCGCAGCTGCCAATGAACAGAAATGGGGTGGGGTGGGGCGGGGGGCGGAAAGAAACTGCCTTCATGGGGCCTCAGTGGCAGGGGGCAGGGAAGAGAGAAACAAAAGTGTCCGTCCAGGTTGCCAGGTGAGGACCCGGGCTCAGCAGCCTTAAGTATGTTCCATGCCAGGTTTGTTGACCTCCACCCCCCAAAATGGACTCTTTCTGAAAAGACGGGGGTTCTTGGGTTCCCAGCCTGGCCAGAGCTAGGGGAGGTGGGGTGGGAGGTAACCTCGTCTGCCTGTGTGCCCCCCATCACCGCACCCTAACGCCGTCCCTTCTCCGCCAGGTGAGGGGCCTTCCCACCCCCGGAGGGTTTCCCGCTTCAAACCGATCCAGGACATTTCCGTAAATTACAACCAAGTTTGGACACCAGCCCTCCCTCCCCTCTCCTGCCTCCCTGTCCCTCTCCCCACAATGTGAAACACTACTGAAGGCCATGCAGAATGGGGAGGGGGGCTTCCTGGCTGTCCCTGGGGGCCAGGGCGGGGGTGCTCCTGAGTTGGGGGCATGGGGCTCAGTGCTCCCCCCGGGGGATTTCCTCGCTCCCTGGCCCCAACACAGAGCCCTGGCGGCTTCCCCAAACGAAATCGCAACTTTTCCTATATATATATACGAATATATATATGGAGAGCTATATACAGTATATATATTTTTTGAGTATAGATCATGGGACCAAACTTTTCCGACTTCCTTCCATCCAAGAGAAGGTGACCCTTTACCGGTCACTCAGCAGGGACAATAGAAGGGCTGAGGCTGGTCGGGCCTGGGGAAGCCCCGGTCAGGTGTCTCCCACTGTCATATCCGGCCAGGGCACTGGAGAAGGAGGGGGATTCTTAGCCAACTCGATATACCTCCAGGACTTTTGGCCCCCACCACAATGATTTTCGGGCGCCTTTAGGCTCAGCCAGCTTGGGTGTCCCTGGTCCTAGCTGCAGCTTCCAGAACCCTCCCCCCAACCCCCTACTTCGTCCCAGGGCCCTGCCTTCCCCCTATGTAGGCACAAAGGAGAACCCCTGGCCTCCCCCCACCCCGTCCTTCTCCCACCCCGTCATAGCCTTACTCATGTGACCAATAGCCCTTATCTTTCCGTGGGGGGGACAAACAGGGTCGGGGGAGCCCCCCACCCCTTGTGCCCCCTCCTAAGGGCAGGCAGCCATTCCCCTGCCTTGGATCACCAGCCTGGAATTCATGGTCTCTGACCAAGATTGCCACGTGCGTTGGGTGACCCCAACCTGCACTGGCCAGCACCCCTTTACCGGAGATACCTCTACAAAGAATTCTTTTTTTCTATTTTGGTCTTTCTGAGCAAGTACAAAGAAGAAATGAGAAGGGAAAAAAATGGGGAAAAAATCAAATGACAATGGATTTTTGTTTCCTACTTGGGGCGGGGAGGGAGAATTTGTGGGGTGCCTCTGTATAGCTACCCGAACCGTGAAAACCCACCTTGAAGCACAGAGTCAAGTTCGTTTGGATGTTCAGTCAGGCCTCTCACCAAACGAGTCGCCAGAGAACCTAATAAGCTCAAAAGCAACAGAAAAATTTAAAAAGAAAAAAAAGACATTCCCTTTTGTTTATACCAAAATGTGTTGACCGACCCAGAAAAAAAAAGAAGAAAAAAAAAAAAAAAAACACTTAGCAAAAAAAAAAAAAAAAAAAAAGGAAAAGAAAAAAAAATCTTCAAACCAACTTGTTTCGATATTCCAGAGTTTGATAATTGTTCCGAGACACTCTTGCGTGCCTGTGTCCCGTGCGTCTGTGTGTGCAAGCGTGGACTCAGGGGCTGCAGGGGCCTCTTCCGAATCCCCGGGGTCCCAAGCCCCCCTCCGTCAGGCCTGCTTGGGAGTGTGTGCTGGCGTGCCGTGGCATCTGTCCTTCTGGTCCATGTTTACTGGCTGTAAATACCATTTTTATACTCCACATCGAAGACCTACGTGATTTGTACGATGTACTTTATTTCTGCTACGAGTAATTTCATGAAGTTTCAACTTGCAAACTGACTTTTGGAGACAAACCGCCACACACACACACACACACACACACACACACACACACACACGGAGAAAAAGAAAAGGACTTAGAGGGGACTTTGGTTTGAGTTTTGTGTCAAAGATTTGCTGTGGCTGGAGAGGTCTTTGTCACTGTGGCGTGTTTCAGGCGAGGCGCTTCAAGCATCATCTTAATGTCCCAAACGCCTCTCTTTGGTCTGGAGAAACTGAAAATTTATTTAATAAAAGTTTTACTTGCTAAAGGACTGAGTTCCCCGTGTTTTGTCCTCTCTCATCAATAAACACCAAGTGCATCTGTCTCCATTGGGTGTCTGGGCTGGTGAGAAATCCAGATTTAAAGCGAGGGGGTGAGGAAGGAGCATCCCAGGAAGGCAGGTCTGAGGTTCCTGTAGCCAGGATTCCAGGTGATTCATCAGAAGATGAAGAAATGGAGTATTCTTTCTGAAAAAGAGCAGGTGCTTATGTCTGTTGATCCACACGTTCATTCAGCCATTCAACAAACATCTGTTAACCCCCCACTGCAGGCCTGTCCCTGTGCTGGACATGGGGTGACCAGATGGTTCTGCCTTTCGGGAGTGACCCTGGGGGAGAGAGAAACTGTGTAATATGCAAGAGTCATGTAACATGAACCTCACCATTTTATAGTGAGAGTGTAATGGCATTAAGTACTTTCACAAGATAGTACAACCATCACCACTAATTCCAGAATGTTTTTAATCACCTCAAACACCTCCCATTATCAGTTATCCTCATTCCCACCTCCAGCCCCTGGTACCACAGACCCATTTTCTGTCTCTGGCTTTGCCTATTCCGGACATTCCAGATTGATCAAATCACACTCTGGCCTTTTTTGAAATAGGCCTTTCTAGCCTGTTTCACTGAATATAATGTCCTCAAAGTTCATCCATATTACAGCATGTGTCAGAATTCCCTTTTCATGACTGAATAATATTCTAGTTCATGGATAGACTACATTTTGTGTATCCATTCATACACAATAGGTGTATGGGTGTTTGGGTTGTCGCCCCCTTTTTGGCCATGTGAATGGTACCACTATAAACATTCCTGTACAGATTTTTGTTTCAACACTTGATTCATTTCTCTCTAGTAGATACCTAGGAGCAGAACTGCTGGGTTGTATGGTGGCGCTATATACTGAGGAACCACCAAGCCATTTTCCATGGCAACTGCCCCATTTTCCACTCCCACCAGCAGTGCACAGGTCTCCATTTTCTCAACGTCCTCACCAATACTGTATAAATAGAAATTTTGAACTGGAATTTGAGGGAGAAATTACCCAGTTCAACCTGATGCAGGGCAGGACCCAGAAGTGTTCCAAGGAGGTGAGACCCAGGAGGTGAGTAGAGGCTTGCTGGACACAGCAGAGGGTGCAGTTTGGGCCAAGGCTTACTGTGGGCAGGGGGGTGGGGACAGGAGAGACCTGGGCTGTTGTCAGAGACTGATTTCCCAGAGGGGTGAGTGGGGAGAGGCAGGAGAGGCATCAAGGAGTCAAGGTGAGTGACGGTGCCAGCCTGCAAGGGGGTGCTTGAATGAATGAGTAGGGTACGAAGGTGGACATGAGTTTGCTTGAAAAAACAAAAGGAAAACTCCACACGTCTCACTGCCCCACTCCAGTGGAGGCCTCTAAGTCCCCTTAAAATGAAAATGCTGAAACCCAGGGTCAGGCATACCGGGTTCCAGGGGAGGGTTCATGGGCCTCTAAGGTGGTACCAGCTTTCCACACCAAGCACAGGGGCCGCAGCTGGCTTTCAGTCAGTTCTCCATCTGGCAATATTTATTTCTCGCTCTTAATAATTATGCCCATTGGGTCTCACCCACAGATCTTATCCAGTAAGACCCCATCCAAAATAGCCTGTGCTGGTTTCATTCCCAAGCCCGCCCACGTCTAGGAGGAGGAGAGTGCCAGGCTCCGGCTGCCATCTGAGGTAGAGATGGAAGAGCTCCACTCGGAGGCCCAACTTAGCTGAATTCCAGTCTGGCCCTGGACAACCTCCCTCAGCCTCACTATAAAGGAGGAATAAGAATACCCATTTTATAAGCTTTTAAAAGACTAAGTGCAAGAATATGTGCTGTTGTGTAGAATCCACTGCTCTTTTAACTACATAGCATGTGGATTCCGAAATAGAAAAAGAAAGAACAAATGAACAACTCGGATCCTGAAAGCCATCTCAGCTGCTAAGCCTGAAGAAGCTCAGAGATTCAGAAAATACTGATTCCTTACTGATCACCCAGGGCCGCTGAGCAGCCCCCTGCCCTGCTGTCCATCCAGTGTCAGAGTGAACAGGACCCAGGAGGGACGGTATCCTCTCAGCTGGATGAGAGCAGAGGTGCAGTCAGCCCGCCAAATACTTGGAGCACGAAAGGGTCGTTCTGATATTAAATGGTCATTCTGCAATGCGTTACCACACAGCGCAAGGCAAGTTCACCTTCTACTGAATAGTCGACACCTATTTTGGAGGTATTTTTGGAGAAATGCCCGCATTTAACATAACTGCTTGCTACCACTCTGGGTAGCTCCTCTCCCCCAGGCTTGCTCTAGCCACACAATAAGACTTATGTTTCTTGAGTGCCTACTATGTGTTCTTGGTTATTAATGCATCTAATTCTCAACCAACAAGGTGGGATTCCATTTTTAGTTGCAGTTTGCAGATGAGGAAACTGAGCAGCAGAGGGTGGAGGAGTCAGCCCACAGTTACACAGGAGGTGTGTGGCGGTGCAGGGCGGGAGCCGGGCCCTGCGGCACCACCTTGCAGTCCCTTATACTTCTCCACCGAGTAGGTCGCAGCTTCAATCTGGAGGCATTAGCCAAATAAAATAGCAACCAGCATATCAGAAAATCCCAGGAAAAAAACACATCCTAAAAGTAATTCTACTTGTTTAAAATCATTTTCTCTCACCTTGATCCCAATTCTATCCAATAGTAGAGCAAATGTTTTTGCAAACTAAATCTATTTCCAATTCATTTTACCTATTTTTGCATAAACTCACAGGACAAAATAAACAGCAATTTAGTTGGCACCACTTTTTAAGGAGACTTCTTTCCCTATTTGATGGTTGTGGCTCTTTATCATGAATTAAGTATTGATAGATATGTGGATTTATTTCTGGGCTTTTGATTTTGTTCCATTGATCCTTGTATCTATTTTTATTCCAATGTTATATTGTTTTAATCACTGTTGCTTTTTTTAAAAAATATTTATTTATGCATACAAGAACTGGGGTGCAGGCCAGAGGTGCAGGGGAGTGAGAGGATTCATCAGAGGCAGTAGGGAGCACAACAGGCGGATTTGCTGAAATAGACTGCTGAGGGGAGCAGCAGGAGAGACAGGAGAGGTCTGGAACGCCAAGTGGGTCAGCTCCAGGGCCGGTGGCGGGGGTGGTTGGGGGGATCGAACTCTTGCTGCAATGGCTGGTAAGACTTTAACCCTTGCGCCACCAAGGAGGCCCTAATTACTGTTGCTTTTATAGTACAGTTTACAGTCAAATAATGTGATGCCTCCATTTCTCTCCTTTTTTTCAGTATAATGTTTGCTATTTGAGATGAACGGTTCTATGCAAAATTTAATTATTTTTGTTCAATTATTTGAAGAATACTGTTGGTATTTTAATGGGGGTTGCATTTTTGTTTACTTGCTTTTCTATGTGCTCAGCACATAGCCAGTTACTACTGGTCTTAAATGCATGGAGGTTAAGTCTGGAGGCCAGCTACCCAGGGTCTTAGTCCAGGTTATCATACTTGTCAGGCCAATGGCCGAGCTCTCTGACTCAGTTTCCCCCCTTTAGAAAATGAGGCTCATGGGGCACACGCTTCCGAGTGTTCCCTGGGGACAAGCAGCCTAATACTTAGAAAGCTCAGAGTAAGCTTTACTGCAGAGTCAAAATAAACCAATTCCTGTGAAACGCCTCCTTCCGGAGGCTTTGCCCCAGGCTGCCAGCAGGGGCCAGCAGAGGCCCACGCCTGCCTCGGGTTTGGGCGCCTTCCTTTGAAACGCGGCAAGCGCCGAGCGGGCCCGCGGTGCGCCGCGCCGGGGCGGGGAGGTGGCGAGGGACCCTCGGGTTCTCTCTTGGGGCTCGAAGCTGCGCCGTTCAGGTGTCTCAGTGCACCCCGTGAAGTCCACAGGCGCGGCCTCACGCCCCTCCTCTCCTCGCTCCTCTCCAGACGGGATGCGCTCCGCCACCCGGCCTCGCCGCGCGCGGGTCTCCAGCCCGGCGCCCCTCCTTCCCGCCCCGGAGCTCCGAGACGCGAGCAGAGGGAGGCGCGCGAAGGCTGCGCACAGGTACCGGCGCCGGCCCAGGTGGCGCGGCAGGCGTTACCTGGGTCCCAGCGAGAGCGCGGGGAGCCCTTCAGCCCGGGGCGTCGGGGCGCACCGAGGACAGCGGTGGAGCGGCGGGGGCGCGCGGGGCTGGGGCCCGAGGCGCGCGGGATCTGGCACTGGCGGGCTCGCCCGCAGGGGGGATGCCCATGGGGTCGCCCTGCAGCGGCTCCTGGGCTCTCGGCAGTGCTGAGCCATTCGGCCGCCTGCCCCGGCGCGGCGGGTTCTCCCCGACGGCTGCGTCCGAGCGGGGCCCGCGCGCAGTGACAGGTGTCGGGTCGTGCTCTGCCTCCCGAGGGGCGACCCCAGCGCCCCCCAGGCGGGCGCGAACCCCGAGACTCACACCCACTGGATGCCGCACACCCTCGCTGAGCGCCCGCCGGTGCCGGGCGCCGTCGCGGGGCTCTGGAGACCCAGGCAGGGACGCGGGGCCGGCCATCCCCCGACCACGCAGCCCCCAGCCCGGCTGGCCGGCGCCTCTCCCGCGGACCCCGCAGGCCCCGCCTCCCAGCCCCGCCCCGCCCGCCCCGCCTCTTTCCCCAGCCAACCGCAGAGAGGTGAAAGTGGGCGTTATCTACATATTCATGAGACATCAGCCAATCCACAGCCTGAACTCGGGCCGGACGCCAGAGTCAGGACGAGGGTGACGTTGAGCGTGACGCCACAGTGATCTTTAAAGGCGCAGTAACCTCAATAGAGAAGGGAGGCTCCGGGCCTGCCTCTCCGCGGGGCTCTGTGCAATGCAAGTCGGGGCGGGCGAAGCGTAGAAACCAACGCAAACCAGTGGCCCTGAAGCAGCGTTGCTAGGCTGGGCCAGCCCAGGAATACGCCGAGGCCTGCTTGTGCGCGGGGGTTGCCAGAGGAACTGGTGCTTTAGCACTGGGGTCCCTGACAGCTCCAGGATCTGAACAGGGGTTCGGGTGTGGGTGGGCGGAGGAGCGTGTAGGGGTTCTGGGGCTGAAGGAACCCCAGGTCCTCAGCCAGCTCAAGGACAAGCGCCTGCGCCCCGCCTTTCCGATCCCCATCCAAGCATCAAGTGAACACACTCTGGGTCTGGGGACGCCCCTGGAGTCTCCAAGAGGGTGTTCGGGGAGCCGCGCGGCCCGGCGCCCAGCCCCGCGCACACGGGCCCGTCTCTGCCGCGGGCGGCTCCTTCCAGGGGCTGCTGTTCTTGCCTCCGTTCTCGCTCACTCCGCCCCACCCAATCTCTTAGCAAACCCCGTGGTCTCTGCTACCTGTGTCCTGAGTCTCCCTGCTTCTCCCTGCTCTGACTCCACTTCGTCCAGCCGCGTCACCTCTCGCAGGGACCAGCGCGGTCCACGTCCACCTAGTCCCGGGCGCGTCCTCACCCGCGCCCGCCCCCGCGACCCGCCCCGCGGCCTGTCCTCCCCGCCGCGGACACCAGGGGGCGCCGGCGAGCACCGGGCCGGGGCGCCTCTCGGCTCCCGCAGCCTCCAGCGCTCCCACTCGACCGGCTCGCTCTGCTGGGGACCATGCCCTTGGGTCGCCCCGAGCAGCTCCTGGGCTCCCAGCAGTGGCTGAGCCATTCAGGGCCTGCCTGGCCTGCAGGACTTGCTTCTGTCCCTCCTTGTCCTCACCTCCTCCCTCCCTCTCCTCGCTCTGCTGCAGCCACACCACGGGGGAGGGGAGGGCAGGGAGGTGCAGGTGCAGCTTGTGAAGGGCCTTGTCACCCTGACCACACCAGATGCCCACCGCTGAGACTCAGCCACCGCTCCTGCCTCCCTGTCTCCCGGCCTCTCTCTCCCTCTCGCACCCACCGGGGAGCGTCTTCGGTGAAGTCACTGATTTTTCTTCTTTTGCTTGTTATATAGTGAATTTCACTGATTTTTTTTGATGTTCACCTCTCTTCGATGATTAAATCTTGGCTGAGTCCTAACTTGTCCTTTTTCCACTTTTTCTTTTATTGAAGGATGATTAACACGCAATAACTCTAGTGTGCTGTTCTGTTCTGACAGACGCACCCGTGCACACTATGCCCCAGTCAAGTTAGAGAATAGATGCACCAGCACCCCCACCCCCTGGTCAGCCCTACCTCCACCCTCGGCGGTAACCAGCCATGTCCTCTCCGTCCCTACGTGTCCTGCAGATGTCATATCCACGGAATCACACAGCACGGGACCACCCGGGTCTGCCCCTTCCCGCAGCATCACATGTTTGAGAAGCATCCACGCTGCGGCAGGTAGAGTTGCGGACCCGACTTTGCGGGAACAATAGTTTCGGTTTCGGTTGGTTAAAGACATAGGAATGCAATAACTGCCAAGCCGTTTTCTAGCTATCACTTTACCTTCCCGCCAGGAATGTGTGTGAGTTCTGATGGTTTTGCGTCTTCGCCAGCACTTGGTACTGTCCATTTTTAATTTAACTTTAGTCATTCAAGTACATGTGTATGCAACCCTTCAAGTGCATGTGATATGTTGCTGTGCATTTAATTTATATTTCCTTAATGACTAATGATGTTGAGTGTCTTTTTATATAATTATTCATCATACAATTAACTTTTTTAAAAAGATTTATTATTCATGCATACAAGAACCGCGCGATACAGGCCAGATGTGCGGGAGGGTGAGAGGACTCACCGGAGACAGAGCGGGGAACAGAACAGGCAGACTGACTGAATACACTGCTGAGGGGAGCAGCGGGTGAGACAGGAGAGGTCTGCCATGCCATGTGGGTATCTCCTCTGCCAGCCATGATTAAACCTGTGCTCCAGAGGCTGCGGACAGCTTCACAGTGCTGTGCTCAACCCCCTGCGCCACCAGGGAGGCCCACAATTACATTCTTTTTTTTTTTTTAAGATTTATTTATTTATACAAGAACTG